TTCTACTTATAAACCTCACTGTTATATTTTAATACAAATGTGTATTTATGACCAAAAAAAAGGCCAAACAGCCTAAAGAAAAACTCAGGGAAATTTATTCTCTACAATGTTAAAACTATTTTAGTAAGAGTTAAGTGTCCCTTAAATCCAAATAATAATTTTGAACGCCTCACTTTTCAAATTTATTAGAAGTTAACATTAAGCTATTTTTTTTCTTTTTTAAAAAAGAGAACACAGTTTATAGCTATGTGACCTAATTTTCGAGGAAGTCAACACAATGAATACCAATGCAAACTGAATACCTTTCTAGAACCAGGCAAAATGTACTCTCGATCGGCATGCTCAATATCAAACTGACTTTTTCAGGCGGAGGGGGGAGGCTGAAAAATTAAAAATGAAACAGAACTGTGAACTTTTTATGACAGTGAATTTAACAGATTAAGTCCTACTCATATTAATTAATTCCTACTTCTCTCAACTTTAAAATAAAAATTTGTAGGCAGAAGCTTTATGGTAGACTTGTCATAAATTTTAAAATTTAATTCTAAGAGAAGTTAGCTTTGGAATAATGATCAATCCTCCTGAAGAAATTAACTAAAAGAGTATGACTAATCTGTCACAATTAACAAAAATCTTCTCTATTTTTCTATAGCAAAGTTTTTTCAACACATTAAACTATAGATACCCTTAACAAAGTTACATAAAAACCACAGTCAAAACTACTAGAAGATAACGTAGGAAAAAATCTAGATGACCCTGGCTATGACGATGACTTAACCAAAGGCACGATCCATGAAAGAAATAATTTAGACTTTATTAAAATTAAAAGCTTCTGCTCTTTGAAAGACACTGTCAAGACAATGAGAAGACAAGTCACAGACTAGAAGTATTTGCAAAAGGCATATCTGATAAAAGACTGTTATCCAAAATGTACAAAGAATTCTTAAAACTCAGTAATAAGAAAACAAATAACCTGATTAAAAGATGGGGCAAAAGACGTGGACAGACCAAAGAAGATATGCAGATGGCAAGTAAACATATGAAAAGATACCCCACATCATAAGTCATTAGGGAAATGCTAATTAAAACAACAGTGACATATCTCTACACATCTATCAGAATGGCCAAAATCCAGAACACTAACAACAAATGCTGGTGAGGATGTGGAGCAACAGGAACTCTCATTCATTGCTGGTGGGAATGCAAAATAGTACAACCACCTTGGAAGACAGTTTGGCAATTTCTTAGAAAATTAAACATATTCTTACCATTCAATCCAGCAATCACAGTCCTTAGTATATACCCAAATGAGGTGAAAATATGTACGTATGTTTACAGCAGCTTTATTCATAATTGCCAAACCTTGGAAGCAACCAGTAGGTGAATGGATAAACAAATTGTGGTACATCTAGACAACAGAACATTACTATTAACTGCTAAAAAGAAAATGAGCTATCAAGCTATGAAAAGACATGGAGGAAATTTAAATGCATATTACTAAGCAGAAGAAGCCAATCTGAAAAGGCTACATATGATTCCAACCATATGACATTCTGGAAAAGGCAAAACTATAGAGGCAATAAAAAGATTAGTGTTTGCAGAAGGGGAGAACAAAAGGGATAAATAGGGGAGCACAGAACATTTTTAGGGCAGTGAAACTACTCTGCATGATACATAATTAGGAATACATGTTCTTATACATTTGTGAAAACCTACAGAACACAGATCATCAACAGTGATCCCTAATATAAACTATGCACTTTGGGTGATAATGATGTGTCGCTGTAGGCTCATCAATTATAACAAACACACCACTCTGGGGATGTTGATAGTGGGGGAGGCTGTCCTTGTTTGGGGGGAGAGGCAGGGGCATATGGGAACTTGCTGTACTTTCCCCTCAGATTTGCTGTGAACCTAACACAATACCTGAAAAATAAAGTCTATTAAAATAAATTAAAAAAAATAAAAAACCCACACACAGAAAGAGACAATTTTGTAAAGAGAAGATCAGAAAAAGAGCGTTAACAAATATGTTACCAATAATTGTAACTAGGTGGAGGATGTGTGGGTGCTCAATCTCATTTTTCCTACTTCACCGCACGTTAGAAAGTTTTCAAAATAAAAATTAAAGAGGAAAAAAAAACGGTTTTAGGATTCATTAGGAGAAATGGGAGAATATAGGAAGGCTCAATTTAAATTTTCAAGAGTCCATCCAGAAACGATAATATTGCTCATCTTTGACCAACATTAGTTATTTGCAGCTTCTTCAGTTAATTCTGTAACCACATATAAATTTACATCATTTAAGACGGTTGCTGTTTAGACTAACCATAAAATTTTGAGACAAAAAATAAAAGGTATGTAAGCATTAATATTGTCAAGAAGTGATTTCTCAAAGACAAGTTCAGATAGCAACCATATTTAAATGCTTAAGATAATCAACCCCAATTTCCTCTGAGTTGGGAATGGCATTTAAATCCCACAAGAAATGTCTATAAAGATGAAACAACTTCAGTCCCTAACAGAAGTCATTTTGCTCCAATTGAGGTAGAAACAATCTCAGAAACTAGTTCCAAGTCCTCAGAAGAAAGATATAGATTATCATCAGCTTCCATAACAGCTTTAACAACATCAAGAGAAAGTTTCCAAACATTTAACACAAAAATTTATGATCCTAAATTTAAAAAAAAAAAA